CAAGTTTGACAAAAAGGCCGGCTTGGTCCCTGCTGTTCTAAGCAGCAATGGAAACGAAAAATTATTCTCTCGAATGGTGCAGAGCCCAAGGGAATCACGTTGTTTGTCTCATACTAGGAGCATCTACATCCGGGCGCCCCAAACCCTCCTCAAACGCTTGGGCGGCCCGCCCGGTCACTGACCGGTCACGATTTTTCGACCCAAACGGACAACTTAAACGGGCCTCAAACATCCGGGCTGACCGGCACCCCTCATATCCAACCCAAATATAGAGCGGATATGGGGCGCCCGGGCACGCCCGCCACGTCGGACACGGCCCATGCTGGCCCACCCGACCCCACATATATTCGCCCCTTCCGCTCCTCGGACCAAACCCTAGCCACTTCACTCCACTCCCCTCCACCACCCGAGCTCACCTCTGGCGATTTCCGGCCTTCTCTGGCATGGCAGGCAGCGGACCGGACTCCGACCAGTCCGGATCCGTCGACTGGGGTGTCATCCCGTGCGGGTTGGAGGAGGCAATGACAATCCACATTGCACTCCACCGCTCCTGGGAGGACAGTGCCCGACCGACGGACGGATCTGTACGCCGCGACTCCATAGCGTCAGCTCAACGGGTGCCCGGGTCCTCTGGGGCTGGATCCTCGCGGTCCCGGCAGCCGGAACCCCTCTCCTTCCCTATCACCGGTCTGGCAGACTATTGAGTCCCACCGGGAACAGGCGGCCCGCCGTGGGAAGGAGAGGATTGGCGGCAACGCGGGCGGCCGCAGAGGAGGAAGCCATCCGCGCCAGCAGAGGAACAAACGCGCCCTCGCCCGGGAGCAGAATCGGGTGGTCCGTGCCATGGCCGAATTGCCACCGAAGGAGAAGGCGGACAGTGATGGCGAGGACAACTACGGGGCGAGCAGATCCGGCTCGATCCGTACTGCGTCTTCGACCGGTACTTCCACGAGAAAGATGGCAACGACGCCGGGAAGGGCAAGGGCAGCCGTGGATGAACTCCATAGCCAAACATGCCAAATTTTGGTAGTCCGATGGCATGTTTAGTTAGTAGTGATGGAGTAGTCGGACGATGTATGTGCATCGTCGTAGTTGCATGAGTTTGTATGGATTTGAGATATGATAATTGAGGTGTCCGGATATGGATTACATTATTTGAGGGGTGCCTGGTCTGTGCCCGCGGACGCGTCCGGGCGCATCCGCGGGCTTTTGAGGCGCCGGATTTGCCAAGTCCGGCTATAGATGCTCTAACACAACATCAAATCCATTTCCCAGAGTCAAGAACTGGTCCCTAACTTATGTAGGCTCTGAGGAAACCAAAATCAATAATGTTGTTCTGAACCTAGCTCGACCGGTACAAGACAGCATCCTCTACACATGTGTTGTGGTCGCTTACCCCGAGTGCAGTTAAAATGCAGGTCTCCATTTATGTGTATGATTTGAAAGGCGTGAATAAAAATGAAGTACACATTCTCCTATATTTATAAAGGATCTCCGTTCAGAAGGACTCGAAACTTATAGCTCCGTTGCCCAAAAGAATACCCAATAAAAATACACTTGACAGCCCGTGGATCCAAAATAGCCCACAGATGGCATGTGATTGCTGACAAAGCAGCCCACAGATGGCATGTGATTCCTCATAAAACAGACACAGCCAAACAGCTTGGGAGGAACCAGGAAACCGTTCTTCCCCAAAAGTAACTCAGAAGGTGACTACATACGAGAGGGGTGATTTGGCTCCCGAGCTCATCTACACCCGCCATGAACAGTAAAATAAAAATACTAGAAAAATTCAAAAAAATCTGTTTTTTGCATGAAAGATGTTTCAGTGCGTGAGGTTCGTGCAAAATTTCAGCTCATTTAGACATCTGAGTAGCTCTTAGAAAAAAGACAAATTTGGGGTCTGTGAAACAGTGTACTGTTCGGACCGGTTTTTTTTTTTTTTGCTGAGAGCAGAGCTGAAACTTGGCACGGACCTCACACACTAAAACATCTTCCATGCAAAAAAAATCAGATTTAAAAAAAGATAGTATTTGTTTTGATTTTACTGTTCATAGGGTGTAGATGAGCTTGGGCTCAGAAATGAATATTCGACTTCATACCCAGTATTCTCGATCATGTGCCATTGATCAGGTATGTCATAGTCATGACAGCTTCACTCCACAAGAATTTCGACACATTTATAGTAAACATCAATGTTTGAACAATCTCCAGAATATGTCGATTCTTCCTTTCTGCCATTTCATTCTGAGGAGTGTCCTGATATGAGGTCTAACTATATTTGCTCTGATAAGAAAGTCTCTAACACATTGTTCACATTCTCAGTGTCATTCTCACTTCTTATCATTTGTACCTGAGCATTGAAGTGATTTTTGACATAGGCATGGAAAGTCATGAAGCATTGGAAAGTTTCATCCTTGTGACGCATCAAATAGATCCATGGCATACGTGTGTGGCAGTCAATAAAGGTCACAAAATACTTGGCACCACTACCCGACACCACATGACTTGTCCACACATCCGAGTAAACAAGCATGAATGGGGCCTTACTCACATAAGACATCCTCGTGTGTTTTGCAAACTCACATGCATCACGTTTCAGCTTGGTCTTATCTACTGCATGCATTACCATTAGGAAACAACTTATACTCCCTCCGGCCCTTTTTAGTTCGCATATAAGATTTGTCTGTAAGTCAAGCCTCGTAAAGTTTGATCAACTTTATAGAAAAAAATACCAACATTCACAATGTGAAATCAATATCATTAGATGTGGCATGACTTAAATTTTCACATGATATAACTTTAGCATGGTAGATGTTGATATTTTTTCATACAAATATGGTCAAACTTTATGAAGTTTGACTTCAGACAATTCTTATATACAGAGTAAAAAGGACCGGAGGGAGTACATTTTATGAAAGGATACATGCCCCATTCTGCACTGATGTTTCCTCGCCATGGACTCTCGTTCTTTTGCAACAGCCGCAAACACTAAGTTGCCCATCTGACCAAGCCCCTCACGGTCCATGTACCACAGCCCCCTACGCCTTATTACAGTCCCAATCCGCCTTCCAGTCGGCCTGCCCTCAATCAAGCACATTCCTCTGTCAACTGTTATCCTACAATTCATCTGGTCAATTAGAGCACTCATAGTCAACAGATTGACCTGGAAAGTTGGCACATGTACTCCCTCCGTTCCTAAATGTAAGTCTTTGTAGATATTCTATTAGATGGACTACATACGGAGCAAAATGAATGAATCCACACTTAAAATGCATCTATATACATCCGTATATAGTTCATAGTGAAATCTCTACAAAGACTTATATTTAGGAACGGAGGGAGTAGGACTGAAGATAACTTAATAGCAGGTGTACATTAAACTGTCTCAATACCCTTAATAGGTTGCGATGTCCCGTCAACAATACATATCATGTTACTTTGAGAGGGAGTGAGTTGATCATATGACTCAAATTCCCTGGAGTCACCTGCAACATGTTTAGAAGCACCAGAGTCTAGAACCCACTCCGGATCAGTTCTGTGAGCAGCAATTGTGGAAGACTGTATCCTCTACTTCCTGCGTCAGTTCGCCGAGGGAACAGCAAAGCACATGCCTGCTGCCACATACTTGCTGCACATGTCCATAGCAGACCAACGCCATTCGCTGTCACCTCTACCTCGCGCAGCTCACAACCACCTGGCAAATGTGTCCTCTTCAGGACATGGTCTTCTCCCAACCGCACTCACTCCCCCTCAGCGCCACCATAGCCTGCAGTTGCCTTCACGCCAGCTTGACGCAGCAGATCCGCCTCGCTCCCCATGACAGCCTCCACTTCTTCTGCTCCTAACTGCACCACCTGCTCTAATTGCTCCACCTTCTCCCTCTCTAATCAACAGCAACAACAACAGATGCAGCAGCTGACGCACCAAAGCAATAGCCAGCAGCAGCAGCGCAAGCCTCCTCTTCCTCTTCTTTGCCTCCTGCTTCTTCTCCTTTTCCCTCTCCTTCTTCCTCTTCTTTGCTTCCTGCTTCTGATGGAGCAGCTGCTGCACGAGCTGTTTCTTTCCAATCAGCAGTAGCAGCAGCACCAGCCTCAACACGTCTTCCTCCTACAGCAGCTGCAGCAACCACAGCCAGCCTGCTCTTGTCTTCAATCAGCTTCAGGAGACAGCAGCAACAAGCAGCTCCTCTTCCTCCACAACTCCTCCTTGTCTTCTCTGCCGCCTCATGAAATCCCTGTCAACACGCCGCCGATTTCCCGCCGGCCCGCGTGCAACAACACCTCAGCAGCTCCCGCAGCTCCACCTTCTCTTCTCCTCAGCCAAGCCCGCCTCCTCGCCAGAACAAGCCAATCACAGCGCGCGCGCACAACCACGCCCAGATGCGCCGCCTCCTCCTCCGCCGCCTCTAGTGCCTCACCGTCGACACCCTGGTCTGATACCATGTTGAGCAGAGGAGGGGCGTACCTCGTCATACGCAATAAATCCAGGAAACTGCAAGGACCAATGTCAAGTCTAGGACTCGAACTCTGGTCGGCTGGGGATACCACTGTCCTCCTAACCATCCAACCACAAGTTGGTTTGCGATCTCTTTCCTAACTAAATAATTATCTCTAATGGGCTACGGTATGAGATCCACGCCTCTAACACTACAAGTTGTCACGTGCTAGGATTGGGACCGGTTCTAAGATCAATGAACGTGACATGCTAGTGGATACACCTCCGAGGAGCGAAGGTTGGCCGGCCATGGTGTCGGGGAGAGAGAAGGTTGGGGACAGGGATTAGATCTTTACTAGTTTATTCTCATCTGTTTCATAATTCTTTATCTAGTACATGGTGTCTCTTTTATAGCGAAGCCTCGACTTGATGCCTAGGAATAGAATCAAACTTTCCTAACAAACCATATCTTGATCTTCCTAACTGTACCGATCACTTTCCTAACTAAATAATTATCTCTAATGGGCTAAGGTATGAAATCCCCGCCTCTGACAGATTCCAACCTAAGATGTCATGGAAATATTTACCTTGTTCCGAACACTGCAGTATCCGCTGAACTGAAGTGTGGCACCAAGCAATGAATCAATAAGACTCCCAAGCAAACCAGCAGCAGCAGAGATAGGTATTACTAGGAGCTGTTGAAACGACATATCAAAAGAACATTCAGCTGTCATCAGTCCAACAGCAACAAAAGTCAGACCAATGGTTAGACCACCTGCTGTGGCAGCAAGAAGTCCTTGTAAGGTCACTCCACCATTTGTACCTTTCCTGACAGGCTTATACATGATACAAGGAATTATCAGCTCACACATAAAAGCAAGTAAAGCACACAAAAACTATCAACTTTTATAGGAAATATTCAAATGAGACAAAGATGAAACAGTAAATACTTTGGGATCTGCATGTATGAGATGATGCAAAAGATGATAGGTTGACCCACAATATGAACCTTCTAGATATTCGCAAACAACTTGTGCTTGTTTGTTTGTATGCGGGGAGGCCATCGTCTTAATGAATACAGCCCATGCGGGTATTCCATCTACAAGTTGTATTTCATATTGTTGACATACTACTGCACTTGTGGAGCTTCCACTCTTAACTGTAAGTAAACAACGTCGATTGATTAGGTACATTGGTATCGTTGTTTGACTCTGCCACACCAAAGGCATGTCATACAGAAAATCTTGCGCAGCTGCTGCCTTTAGGTGTAGGCACACCTTGATTGTTGCGAGTGAACTGCCACTTCCATGCGAAGGGACGTTTTTTTTCCCAGTGATAATGCAGGCAGTAACTCCGCCTATGTTGTCTCAACATAGCCGGTCCCAAGCCCGGGTAAAGGAGGAGGGTTGTGATAGGCTTGGCGAGCCAACATAAAAACTCAGCCACTCTTATGGAGATGAAACCCAAAAGATTTTCGTTGGGGCGTAACCCTCTCAGCAACGTGCCACACCGGAACCCGGGTGTGGTGTCAAATGGGAAGGGCCCGTCACCCCCTGGTGGCATGCCGTATCTTGATCTGGATACGGTGGCAAGTGAGCGAGGATCGGGTCGTCGTTGTTAAGCTTCATTCACTAGCCAACACAACCAAAAGTCTGAACTGATGGAAACGGCTAGGCAATCCACATATACACTTCAACACCCCGTCTCGCGTGTGACGCGGGAAGTCAACACGTGGATAGACTCAGAGGTATGGCTCAAGAGGCCTATACGTGGACACAAAGGGGGGAACAACTTTTTGGATAAATTGCGAAAGCCAGAACTTGAACTCAAGACCATGGGCTCTGATACCATGTTAAGCTTCATGCACTAGCCAACGCAATCAAAAGTCCAAACTGATGAAAAGGGCTAGGCAATCCACATATACACTTCAACAGTCACATCCTTAGTGGCGCGCTGCATCGGCGCCCGGATGTAGTGGAAAATAAGCAAGGGTCTTCGCATTTGACTCGACGAGTGCGAAGGGTAAGGAAGCTAGCCGAGCCTAGGAGGATTCGCTTAGGTAGGTGAAACGTAGGGTCTCTGACAGGGAAGCTTCGGGAGCTAGTTGATGCAGCGGTGAGGAGAGGTGTTGATATCCTTTGCGTCCAAGAAACCAAATGGAGGGTCAGAAGGCGAAGGAGGTGGAGGATACCGGCTTCAAGATGTGGTACACAGGGACGGCTGCAAGCAGAAATGGCGTAGGCATCTTGATCAACAAGAGCCTCAAGTATGGAGTGGTAGACATCAAGAGACGTGGGGACCGGATTATCCTGGTCAAGCTGGTAGTTGGGGACTTAGTTCTCAATGTTATCAGCGTGTATGCCCCGCAAGTAGGCCACAATGAGAACACCAAGAGGGAGTTCTGGGAAGGCCTGGAGGACATGGTTAGGAGTGTACCGATTGGCGAGAAACTCTTCATAGGAGGAGACCTCAATGGCCACGTGGGTACATCTAACACAGGTTTTGAAGGGGTGCATGGGGGCTTTGGCTATGGCATCAGGAATCTAAGAAGGAGAGGATGTCTTAAGCTTTGCTCTAGCCTACAACATGATTGTAGCTAACACCCTCTTTAGAAAGAGAGAATCGCATCTGGTGACTTTTAGTAGTGGCCAACACTCTAGCCAGATTGATTTCATCCTCTCGAGAAGAGAAGATAGGCGTGCGTGCCTAGAATGTAAGGTGATACCTAGAGAGAGTGTTGTCCCTCAGCATAAGTTGGTGGTTGTTGACTTCCGCTTTCGGATTCGTGTCCAACGGGATAAGCATGCCAAAGTCGTTAGAACGAAGTGGTGGAAGCTCAAGGGGGAGGTAGCTCAGGTGTTCAAGGAGAGGGTCATTAAGGAGGGGCCTTGGGAGGAAGGAGGGGATGCGGACAATGTGTGGATGAAGATGGTGACTTGCATTAGTAAGATGGCCTCGAAGGAGTTGGGAGTATCCAGGGGAAGGAGAAGCGAAGATAAGGATACCTGGTGGTGGAATGATGATGTCCAGAAGGCGATTAAAGAGAAGAAAGATTGTTTCAAACGCCTATACCTGGATAGGAGTGCAGACAACATAGAGAAGTACAAGATGGCGAAGAAGGCCGCAAAGCAAGTTGTCAGTGAAGGCCGCAAAGATTATTCAGCGCTTCGTTTGTTTGGTTGTGTTGGCTATGTCCTTCTTGCCCCCGGTGAATGCGCCGAACTGACCGCTCAGTCTATTGAGTGTGCCTTCTTAGGACACTGTGATGAGCATAAGGGATATCGTTGTTGGGATCCTATTGGTCATCGAATGCGTATTTATTAGGATGTCACTTTTGATGAGTCTCGCGCCTTTTACCGCGCCCATCTTCCTCGAACTTTTCGATAGAGGATATCTCTTTCCTCACTTTTCCCAACACTTGTATCGCTCCTGTCGAGCCCTGGTCCACCCGTCCACTGCTCCTGCTCCTTCGACGGTTGTAGATCTGACATCATCATCTCCTATGTATTTTCCCCATTCTATAAGGGGTTTTCTGCATATTTTACCGCACCTGTGCATGTATATATACAGGCCTATGGCCACCTGAAAATACAAGTTGCATATTTCCTAACAAGTGGCATGTGCTTAAAAAGGCAAAGGATACATTGGGGCCACTTTACACGAAGAAGAGTGAATTTAGGTTCCACAAGATGGTGAAACCACATGCTTACTATAGATGAGTTTGAGGAAGGTTGGTGGATATTGCTGGATAAGTACAGGATCCACACGCACCCATACATGACACAGTTGTTCAAGATCAGGCACAAATGGATACTACTGGATAAGTACAAGGCGAAGGATTGAGTAAGAGGACCAGGCTCTACCTTCTGCCATCGTCGAAGGGCGCAAGAGAACTACTTGTCCAGATAGAGGTGATGTACTCAATCACCCTCACAAGCCTCAAGGTGTAAGAATTGTGCTGTCGAGGGGCACTGGAGGTAACATTGCACTAAGCCGATGGAACTGAAGTTAGCAGATGGGGTGTAGAGACTAATCCACAATCCCCGGTAAGGGTAGTCAAGAGAATTTGTTCCATATGGAATTAGATCGCGCTGTTGAGAGCTAGATCAGTACTTGTGTGTTCAGAATTGTCTACTTTGTTGCAAACCCTTTGTATTCCAATCTCATTCGACTTTTTTTTGCAGGTGCAATTTCATTTGACTTATGTGATCTGTTACTGATGTGTTTTCTTTTAGAGCAGGCTCACATAATTATAAATTAAAACTCGCTGTGGAACATTATGCAGTTGGGAGGTACAGGCAGTACTGGGTACAGGGTAGTGAAAATTAGTAATCTGTGAGATGATAACCTGATGATGAGGCGTGTGCATGAACTCTGATTGTGCTGGTAACTTCTTTTTGTGGAACACTCAGGATTTTTTTAATTCAGCTGCCAACATATTACAATCGTTTTGGATGAATAAGCTGTGCCTTTCCACTGACGGGAGGCGGGGAGGCTCAAGTAAATGAGAGAACAGCATGTTTCCTCAAACAGGTGGACAAATAGACTGAGCTGCATTCAAGTTTGATTGTTTGCCATGTGTCTTACGGAGTCATGAAAGGTTCAAGCTAATTTGAGTTTTTGAAATTCAAAATGCAAGAGCTGGAATGGGCTAGGCTTGTGTACATAAGCACAGAGATGTGGGGCTGTGTATTTCTAGACTACCAGTACTAGTGGTGATCTTCTCAGAGCGAAGGACAGGCATAAACGGTCGTGGTGGTCGCTAGATGGAACTCGTCGACAGTTTAGGCAATGGCTGTGGGGTGACAGGCCCGAGAGTCAACACCGCTATTGTAAGTAGCATAAGTGAGATTAGTAGATTCATGATGGTTTCTGCTTCCATGTTGGTTGCACTTTGCATAACTTGTGCCAGTTTGTGTGCTAAACATCTTGAAATTTTGGGCGATGCAGGGCATGGCGTCTTCAGTAGCAGAGGTTGGCCTAGAGGATAGGGTTGCTGCTGCATCTGTTCTGTCTTCAGGATCACTTCAGGTGTGGGATAAATCAATTATCTCTTTGAGCTGTACTTTTGTGGAGATGAAATCATACACGATTCATGTTGTGTATGTTTCTTTGGCTGCAGGTCTTCTCTGAACGATTGTGCTGGGATGAAGCTGCAAATGGTGGGGACTTGTTTTAACCGGTGAGGAAGGAGATGAATCTTGAAGGGGAAGGCTGGTCGGTGCGGCTATGGCATGCAATAAATGGGCCGGGGTAACGATCACCGCTGGTACAGAATCAAGAGGGTGCCGGCCCATAACATTAGAAGATATCAGAGCCGGTCGAGCTGTGCCTGACGACGTCACATTGATTACTGGACCGATGTGGGCCATGGTACCAAAAAGTTGATGAAATACTAATCATTATACAGCGTCCTATACGTTGGCAAATGCGAATCTAGGAGCAACTGGGCGAGCGAGAGAAGTATCTGAGCTCGGGCTCATATTAGCACTTTCAGCCAGCTTGTACCTATTAGGGAGAGGTGGGAGCGCCACTTGGGAGCATTTTCCTCACACACTAATCGTTTGATTCTATATCTAGAGCAGGCTCAAATAATTATAAATTAAAACTCAATCTACATTCACACATTGCACATAGTTTGCATATCAGTCTACGAGCATCTCTATGGTCATTCACAATGTTAAGCATATTTCAAGCTTGCTCAAACAGAATTCATCGTGGGATCCAATAGTTGCATGAATAACACAAACATCCCTACACCACATGTAGTTTGGTCAAATCATATTTTTTTTCCTGTTTCTTGGCTTGATGCCCAAAACAATTTGGTCATGAACAAGGCATTACCAAGAAGTACAACTTCAGTTTCATGGAAACCCAAAGATGTTGTGTTTCTACAGTCAAATTTTATGTCAACAAATGGATGGAAGGTTTGATAAAGAACAATTAAGACGGGCTGCAACAGGTAGCCTGGTCTATTAGGCTAACCAAATGTACCTGTAACAAATGGGCAGAGACCAGAGAGATGGAAAGAACTGTTCTGCTTACTAGATTTCAGTCTCTAGGTACTTTATCCCAGTAAACTCCATGCGAGGGGAACAAACCCCCACCACCCTGGTGATTGTATTAAGATGGAAGAAACTATAATAATATCTCAACCATGAAAGGAGCACATACCTTCAGGGTAGTGACAAGCCTTGGTTGTTCATCACTAAGCACACCGATTTCAGATGACCAAGTGTCTCCATTGCAGCAGCAATAATGGCCAATAATAGCACCTATTATACCAGTTATAACCTTTGAACCATTTGAGTCCAAGCATTGATCCTGACCCCCAGTCATTATCGCCAATAGGATAACCAATACAGTTGCTATTGCACTATTCGCAAGAACTTGGATCCTTCAAGAATTAAGAAATAAACGAATAATAAGATGCGGGAAGAATATAAAGTATTGTGATGCTGTCGGCAAAGCAATGTCACCTATTTACAAAAGAGAAAAGCTGATTGCCAAAGAGAAATTCCACAAAATTCGTTAACTTCTACAAAATATAATATGACAAATTGATATGTATAATAAGTTAGGGTTTTTTCATCAAGCACATCTGATTCTCACAAAGAACATTGCCAAAACAAATAAACTAACTCATAATGTATTTTCACCGAAGCAATGGAAAGTCTAACAGTTTTGGGAACCATCCTCTAGTTTAAATTAGTGTATTTTTGTGGAACTGGGATTGTGCTTCTACTGCCATAGTGCATGCATGCTGACAAAAGTATATAATTGTGACTCTGAGCATAAACATTTAAACGATGGCCTCTTAGCCCCGCATTGGTACCTGGAAATTTTCAGTTTAATTAGGCCATTGACGTCTCAACTGTATCCAATGAAATTCATGTGTATCCAATGAAATTCATGTGTTCCAGACAGACCCTTATGAATTCGTTTACTAAATGACTTCTGAATCTTTGAAACTGGCTTCCAAACAGCCATAGACTTGGGCTAGCTATTGTCATTTCGTGCAAGTTTGACTACATTGCGTCAGTACTGTGTTCTGTACTTGTGTTATAACTGAAAGTGCAACCTTTTCTATATGACCTAGTTATATAGCTAACGAAGAATTCAATCTACATTTCTCTATAAGATCATATTCGCTCCATTCGTGTTTGTTGGGCCATTTAGCCAAAGCGGCTTAACCAAGGCAGAGAGGAATCGATCGAGGCAAAATTTTGATTTTGGAAACATCCAACAAATCACTTATTTCCCCCTTTAACTTATGAGAATTTTCAGGGATTGCCATGCCAACTCAACCTTTCAATCGCTGAATTAATCCTGTAACCATTCCCTGATGAGGACATCAATACTATTGTTACACCCACAGCCCCTGCTGCTATACATACTGGACCAATTACTAGAGCTCGTGCACGCCAACTAAATTACCAGGTACTTTCGTTTCTTGGTAATGATTCTAATGTTCATGAGAATATGATGCTGCCTAAATTGGATACATTTGTTTTGCTTACAAATGAAGGGCCTAGCTTGGAGAAGGATGAACATTGGAGCAAGAAGAAGCATGGAGATGATGGCATGCGCAAGGGGAACAAGAACGGAGTTACAAGTGATGATTTCAGGACTTTAAAGCCACCATAATGGGTGCATGAAGCCTTGGACGAAATATACAAGATGCCACTTCATAAATTCCGTCCCGAGGCTATTTTAGGTGCTGCGTCACCTTATTATTGGGCCAGGCCCATGTAATTTCGAAATACATAAGTATAGGCTATTTTTAGAGTCCGTATGTGTGGGGAAACAAGAGATAGGGTTGATTTCGGACCCCTCCACCAAGGGCCACGAAATTCCCCCCCTCTTCCTCCATATATACAGCCCTTAGGGCATCGTTTAGACTTTGGGTTTTGTTTAGATTAAAAGTTCGCCATAGCTGCAACTTCGCGTACTTCGTTTGTGTTCAACGACCAGACAAAGGCGTCACAGAACCCCACCTTGATCAATAAAGCTTTCATCTTATATTCGCAATATCCAGATTGCAATCTCAGTTTCTTGCTTGTTCTTCGTTTGGTCGCAGGAAACAGACCCTTGTGGTCAGGTTGATCGTGCTCCGGCGTGGTCAATAACCTCTCGGAGTTGGTTTAGCGATTGCTAAGGCGCGACGTCCTCGCACGTTCGTAGTCGGATCGTCAAAGTCGACTGCCACCAAAGCGATAACCATCATCTCATCGAAAGACGGGACACCTTTGCCTCTATCATTCCCCCTCAACAGCATTAACTGGACGCATATAACAAAACAGAGTGGGAGAGAAAATCATGGGATAGTAACACCTTAATCTCCTGTGGCCCTAAAATTGTACTGTTTGTGGCAAACTATCCATATTTAGCTTCCATTTCTATGCATCTTAGCCATTGAATTGAACTAGTGACGGAGTGATAGTTGAATCTGTACCAAATTGACCCTGTTTTAAACATGACAGCATTGTAGATGAAGAAAAGTGTAACACAATAAAATTTAAATTCTATTGATTTATTATTTTGGAGTGTTTCCCGTTTGTTGGTGAACTTGGTCTGGTGTTATTGCCTTGGTGATTACTGTTTCAACTCTTGAACTCATTCTCCTTTCCTTCCAAGGATTAAATCTTTAGATCTTTCCCTCGGGTTATCCACCTTTGGATGCAATCACCCTTGACTTTTCCACAGAAGAATCATTTGAGAATCTTGTTATTCCAAAACCCTAGATCTACCTTCCCAAAACAACCAATATCCATAATGTTTGAAAAATTCAACAAAATTCCCAAGAGACCCCTCTCCACCATACACCCCCATTCCACAAAAATACCTCTTGCCCTAGTGCAATTATATGGAATGGAAATTATTTTTATGAAAATAACTTTTGGCTAGGGGCATCCTTAGTATGATTGTAAGTAAAGTTAACAAGGGTTCATACGGTAACTTTATGGCGAAGGTCGTTGTACACAAACAAAAACAACACAACGGTGTTTTTTGAATAGGTTCAGTCGCCTTGACGGAGCGTGGCCTAGTCCTATGTTAGGAAGGCCTATGGTGGTGTTGGATGGTCGCGGTCTTCGAGTCGTAACACGAGTACACGACTCCTCAAAACCCCCTCCTAAATTCCTGACCAAGGTCGGTTCAAGTCATAACACGACTCTCTTGGACTCGACTCTAAAGCGGCTTGGGACTATTGAAAGGTCTAAGAACAATAGTGCCCTCCCCTTGAGTAAAGTGAGCGTGAATGAGTACATGCCCATGGGGGGCCTTATAATGGTAAGGGTGCTTTGACAAATGGCCAAGGTGGTGATAGGTAGGAGGGGTAGGATGGTAAGTCTAGGTCCATGAGTCCAGGAAAACTAGTCAAAAGTGGGGGTGTCCATAGTCCATGATGCACAACTCCACTTTATCCAAGCATGAATGGGCCTTTGGCTAATTGGGCCTCATTTAGGCTTAGGATCCTTTGCTTGTTGCCTTCATTGTTGACTTCGGCCTTTTATTCTGCTTTCTCCTTTGACGTGTTGACCATGGCAATTTGCTTGGACTTTTGCTGACTAGCTTGGGCCTTGTTGACTGAGTTGGACTTTTTTTAACCACCTTGGACCTTGTTGACTGTCTTGGACTTTTGTTGACTAGCCATGTAGGACTAGTGGGACCCTCGTGTAGGATTAATTATTATCCATCTACAGAAATTAATTCCATCTCTATTCCATTTGACCATTAACTTTAAACCCAATTTATTGGCTCTGAAAATGTGATGATCCGCGCTCTGGACTGAGAGGAAAACATTTGTTCCAATGCAGTCCAAGCTTCTGCAGCGGTGGGGATTGACGCCACTTGCGTGAGAATTTCCTTTGTGAGGGGAGTTGAGAGGAACCCAAGGATCTGATGGGCTTGGGCACGGCATCGGGCATATTCAGGATTTATCATCTGGACCGTTCCTTGATCGGTCGACGAGATCGTCCTTGCCGGCGCCGGGAGGGAACCATCGAGGTACCCATCGGTTAGGGCGCCACAGATTGGGGGAAGCACTTGTGCTTTCCATAGCACGTAATTGTCACTGGTAAGTTTTTCCGAGACTAAGGTTGAGGATGGGGAGGGTGGTGAAGGAGGAAGCAGCAACCATGAAAGGAGCTTGATGTGCTACGGAAGGAAAGCTTTGATACCATGTGAAACGCTCGAGGGAGCTGAATAGCGATAGTCTTTTGGCATAAAACGTATGTGATGCGGAGCATCCTACGGACATCACCATGTCAAGAGTCCGTTCGGCAAGTGACACGTGCGACATCTACTTCACATACATAAAGGTGAAGCATCTCCTTTACATGTGCTCACTTGGCCCCTTCGAGGATGGTATACTACTTGACACTCCTCTCGTGTGCATACATAGGTATTGTCGAAACTTCACGAATGACGAGGAGTGCAGGCGCCAAGGAACGACTGCACCATCCGCCAGGGAAGCTTGGAAGCGGAGACGGAAGAAGACGGAGCTGTGAAGCTACAGCCACTGGACGTTCGACGCAACCACACTCAGCCACTAGGAGGCCAACAGCTGACGGACGCTACAGCAGCCGGACGACCGACGACATGCCAAACGCCCGACAATTTCCAGCGAACGGACATACGGTCTCCACCGGAAATCCGGTACCACATGTCCAGAGGCGAATTGACGAAAGACCGACACGCTCTGGACGTCCGGACCCTCCTGAGCCACCGGGCGTCCGACAACTACCGGAAATCCGACGCCGCTACACCCGAGAAGAATCAGCGGACATCCGACGCGCGTCGAGCGTCCGGACCGTCCCGAGCCACCGGTCATTCGGTACCTCCCTGTGTGCAGTCGCGGGCCTTGGCCTTGTATCTCTTTCCCACTTAACCCTTCATGGCTTAGACTATAAATAGACCTTCCCCTCCTCATTTCTAGGGATAGCTAAGAATAGAACTACACAATAGAGCTTAGCTCGTGTATCTCCCCATGTCGGATTCCTCCTAGGAGAAGATCCATGTGGATTCAAGACCTCTTAGGAGAAGATCCCTCAACTGGATATCAAGACCCCATCTAAGGAAGGATCTATCTAGATCATCAAGACCTTATCTGATGCGGAGCATCCTAAGTTCATCACCATGTCAAGAGTCCGTTTGGCAAGTGACACGTGCGACATCTACTTCACATGCATAAAGGTGAATCATATCCTTTACACGTGCTCACTTGACCCCTTCGAGGATGGTATACTACTTGACACTCCACTCGTGTGCATGCATAGGTATTGTCGGAGCTTCACGGACGATGAGAAGGAGTGCAAGCGCCAAGGATCACCTACACCATCCGCGAGGGAAGCGTGGAAGCGAAGACGGAAGAAGACGGAGCTGCGGAGTCTACAG